ATTAAAATTCCATGTCTGGGCTGGAATGTAGTTCAGTGGCAAAGTGCTTGCCTAGCAAATGCAATGTCCTGGGTTTGATTGCTAATACCAAAAAAGAAAAGACAAAAAAATTCCATGTCATTGTCTGCGTACACTAAAATTTCTAGCGAAATGTTTTTGACTTTATAGAAATTTCAATGATAAAAAATAACCACTTGGCTTGCCTTTTATCCTATTAGGAAATTAATTAACGCTAATCATGAAATTACAGACAAGGCTAACGTAATCAATTATATTATTATTAATTATATTTAATTAGTTATAGTAAATATCCAGTGTCCATGACATTTAATCTAGTTTTCTCTATGCAGATAGAAGAAAGCAGTAGGAAAAACAGAAAACTCACCTGAAAGTGATTTTTGAAAACAAAGGGCCTTTATTATCTCACTTAGAAGCTTCAGAGATAGAGCAATTATAGGTTTGAATCTTAGTGAATCAGTAGTGCTATCATAGAGACTGGTTCTTTGTATCTTTCCCTCTGCTAGTTTCCCTCAGAATGTTGAGGTCCCTTCTAGATCTTTGGCTTAACCCCACTTGCTTGCAAGATGATTCATCACATGTTCACTCAACAGTGTTCAAAAGAAGGTGGCTGATTTCCTTCTTGTCCTTCATCCTCACTCCCTTCTTTCCTCCTGTCCTCCCTTTTCCTTCTCTCCCTTCTTGTTTCTTCCTCCTTGTTTTTCCTCCTCTGTTCTTCTCTCCCCTCCCTCACCTCCTTATTAGATTTTTCATATCTCATTGGCTAAAGTTGGATGAGAAGCAGATTATTTAATCAGCCATCACTAAATTTAGATCTTTGAGTATTTGCCACTACAGTCTGATCAGGGGTATAAAAGCAAGATGAGTTTCCGTACATAATAAAGTTTTTATCTAGAAAAATTGGGGCAATGATGATTAATGATCAGTGCCTGGTATAACTTTTGGCTTCAGCTTTATTATAGTTTATTTCTTAATTTTTTGACAATGGCATTTTTGTGACACATTATTTTGTATGAAATCATAGTTTACTGATGAATAAGTGATTATATATAAATATATACATATATAATCACTTATATAAATATTAATATAAATAATAATAGAAGTGATTTATATCACTTGAAGTCATATATATATATATATATTTTTTTTTACAGGTTAGGTTCCTTTGGAAATGTAAAACACATAAAACAAAATAACAGTGTTTAAAAAAAAGAACCTTACTTATGTAACTGTAACCCCCCTGTTCATCACCTTAATAAATTTTTAAAAGAGAAAATGAAAAACAAAAAATATTATCTTTGCCAAGTGGGATATGAATCATTTGAAACAAAGCATACCAGTAGGCATACGCATACTAGTAGGCATAAGCATGTATCCCTTTGTACATTGATTCTGATAGGATCTAGGGGAATGATTTAGAAGAAAGAGTCTCTTTCTTTTGTACTTGGCAGTCACTCCATCATTGAGTTTTATCTCCACCTCTTGTTTTTTGTTTTGTGGTATGTGTGCTTGTGTGTGTGCGTGCGCGCGTGCATGTGTGTGTGTGTGTGTGTGTGTGTGTTGCCACAGACTTTAAGTTCACTATGTAGGGAGGGTACATGACAATTATATAACATGTGATCCTCCTTTTCTACTGAGATGGTCACATCTGGCTGTGCTCAGCTGGTAATGTCTTTCTCTGCTCCTAACCCTTACATTTCTACAGCAACCAGCTCTTTTCCCTTGGCAGTTAATTGCAATTAGTAATTGTAAATTTATTAATGTTTGTGCCTGTTAGAACATTTCTCCCTTCCATTAGAATATTATTGTTATAACGGAAGGAGTTCTAGAAAATACGCGTCTTGAATTTAGGTTAAAATTTTTAAAATACTTATGATCTCATGGGAACATGCTGTACTCTTTGGGTCCCAACCTTTTTGCTTTTAGTTATGAGGTCTGCTTTTGCCTGGATTGTCCTTGAATTGTAATTTTGTTGATCTCTAATTCCCAAATAGCTGGGATTGCAGATGTGAGCCACTGTAGTGGGCCCTAAACACTTCTTGATGGAGTAGTGTTATATAAATTAGCAAAAAGGCACATAGATAAGAGCTGTAGAGGATAATACATTGCCAATATAATGGAGAGATTTATAGGAGATCACTGAACAGCACCAGTTGGTAGAAATCCTTAAGTGTGAAACCGAAAGATATGATATTGTTAGATTTTTTTCAAAATGCTATAATAAGTTATAATGCTATAATAAGATATGACATTGTTAGATTTTTTTTCAAAATGCATAGTAAGTTTCCACTAATACAGTCTACCTTTTTCAATTGAAAGATAGATTTCATGGTGAAGAATATTATCAAATGTAAATAGACTGAACTCTCTAAAGACAAAAGCTGCTCATGTTGCATATACACACACCTATCGATAAACACACTTGTGCATGCACATATATGTGTGTTTAGGGGTGGAGAAGTATTCACTTTAATATGTAAGAAAGACTTCAGATTTCAAAGATATGTGTGTGTGTGTGTGTGTGTGTGTGTGTGCACGCGTGCGCGCGCCAGTCCTAGAACTTTAACTCAGGGCTTGAGCACTTTCACTGAGCTTCTTTGCTCAAGACTAGTGCTCTACTACTTGCACCACAGCTCCACTTTTGGGTTTTTTAATTTTCTATTTTTTTGGTGGTTAATTGGATAAAAGAGTCTCACAGACTTTCCTGCCAGGGCTCATTTAAAACCTTGATGCTCAGATCTCAGCATCCTGAGTAGCTGGGATTATAGTCATGAGCTACTGGATCCTGGCTCAAAGACTCCTTTTTTAAAAGGAGAAAGAGATCTTTGAAAGAAAAAATGGGGGAAAGTAAACAAAAAAGAAAATTACAAAGACTGTATTCTACAGTGATGAACATACATCTACATATGAGAACTATATTGGGTAGAGAGCACTATTAGTTCACTGATCCTAATGTTGCCATACCTTCTTTGCCTCTCGCCTCCACTCATGGTCCCCATATTCCAAATGCCACTTTCTTCCTGGTAGTACCTATTCATCTGCACTCATTTGAATAGGAGCCTTCATTCTCTAACCAAAGAAAAATAAAGAAGCTTAACAGTGATGAATCAGATAGAAAGAGTGTTAAGAAGAAATTGTAAAGCTAATTAATCAAAGTTTCAATCATATCGCTGACACTTTTCTGTTGTGTGGGCCCTTGGCAAATTATTTAAGTCCTGGCTTCACTCAGCTGTAAAAGGGGAATACCATGGCTATTCTAAGTATAAAATGATAAATATGTATAAAGTGTTTATAGTAATTGGCTATTAATATTGGAAATTAATTGGAAGGTGGCTCAGTGGTAGAGTGCTTGCTTTGCATGCATGAGGTCCTGGGTTCCATTCCTCAGCACCACATAAGCAGAAAAACCCGGAAGTGGCGCTGTGACTCAAGTGGTAAAGCTCTAGCCTTGAGCTGAAGAGCTGAGGGACAGTGCCCAGGCCCAGAGTTCAGGCCCCATGACCAACGAAAAAAATGGAAAATTAATCAAATGAAGATTATGATATACTATTTATTCATTGTCTGGCCCGTGGATGCACAGTTCCTATGACTGAACAGATAAGAACCCCAAACTGAGGTACTCCTCAAGGAAGGGCCACAGCTGGAGGAGCTCAGGATTTAGGCAACTTTGTCTTGGGTGGGGTTGGAGCAACATCTGTTCTCACCATCACTGCGCTATTCTGGCATCCCATAACCCTGGAATATTTGCAACTGATGGCTATTCAGTAAAGCAGTGAGGGAAAAGAACAGAGGTCTAACAGCTGTGACCCCACAGCCAATTTTAGTAGAGACTTAAAATAGCTTTAAGTACCTGTGCTATACCACCGTGAGGATTCTCGAAAATAAATTGGGAGGGTTTTGAAGGGAGAAAGAAAGTCTTGTGTTATGATGATAAGTTACCATACTGGCCATTGCTTTAAATAAATTCCTTGATGGTAAGATTGACATCCAGGAAGACAGTCCCTCCCCCCTCCCTCCCTTCCTCCCTCCATTCTTTCCTTCCTTCCTTCCTTCCTTCCTTTCTTTTTGGTTGATCGTAGGACCTGAACTCTGGGCCTGGGTGCTGTCCCTCAGCTCTTCAGCTCAAGTCTAGCACTCTACCACTTGAGCCATAGCACCACTTCCAGCTTTTTTCTGCTTATGTGGTGCTGAGGAATCGAACTCAGGGCCTCATGCATGCAAGGTAAGCATTCTACCACTGAGCCACCTTCCCAGCCCTGACGGTCTTATCTTTTTATCTACATTCTTTTGGTTCAGCATTGACAACAGCTATCTGAGACAGGTGATCCATTTTTGTCACATGAGAATTCGTTCTCTGAGTGACTGTTTTGGGACAAGAATGGTTCATGAGATCTGTGAATCTTTCCTCTGGCTATTTGCTGCTCCTGATCCAAGTTGAAGAGCTTAATTTCTGGTGCTGTTGCTATGGAAATACTGCCACCAACTATTTTCCAAATACTATGGAAAAGATGACAGGACAGCTGCTCCAACCATCACTCATCACTGGTGGGGAAATAGTTCGCATGCTTCTTAAGGGTAGGGCACAACTCTCTCGAACTTTTGTGTTTTTTAGAGAGAGAACATTTAACAAAGAGAACCTAATAATTAAAATTACATACATTGTCTCAAGCATTCCACTGATTTCCTTCTTTTACTAAGTGCAGTAATGAATATTAGTGGATTTTATTTAAGATTAAGCTTGGGTTCAAACTCTCACCCTGTCAATTTATTAGACCTCTCTCACCTTCAATGTCGTAAGTCTGTAAAATGGGGATAAATATACTACCCATCTCCCAGGAACATTGTAAGCCTTAAGTAAAACACTGGGTAAGTGTGTACTATTTTGTCTAACACTTGTCCTACAACTAGTTATTATGGAGTTGTTGTGAATAAGTGATTATAATCGATTCATTGGTTCTTCCCTGTGTTGGTTCTTTCAGGGAGTTAATGTCATCCCAGGCAAAAGCAATTATTAAAACTACTGATAATAGTTTACGGCCTCCATTTGTCCCCAGTAGACTTTTGCATTCAGTGGGAGGATCAGACGGGTCAGGACATCAGGATTGCTGTACACATCAAACAGCAACAGATCACAGCTATGAGGAAATATCAAACCCAGATAGCTACATATCAAACAGTAAAAACAATTCTCGATTCATATCAGCATCCAAGAGAAACAGGCATGTCAGGGCTCTGGTGGGTCAACTGAGGTAATCAAAGCTGCTCTCTGTTCTTTCTGACTGATTGCCAAAGGTCTTTACTTTGAGCAGAATTTATAGTGATTCAGTTGACTATCTCAGACATTAAAATATAACCTACCTCTTGGGTTTTGTTTATTTTTCTTTCTTTGAGAGCACCAGAGTAGAATGTTGCTAATTACACTGTGGAAAATATGAGATGCACTTCAAACTGAATAATCAAAAACTCTTGAGAAGTATTTGAAGCAGAATCAGGTTGGAAACAGGAAATAATCTTGCTGACAGGTTATTTCTTTCTAGAAAGAAATGTATACTTTTGATATTTAACTAATATTTTGAAACAGAGTTGAACTGAAACAAGCTTATTATAAAACTATTTTGTACATGTTTTCATATTGAGATTATTGTAATAAACTATTCAAAATTCAGAGGCAGAAAAACGTTGCTGAAAACCAAAGTCAAACTAAGAAACTGAAATTTCCATTACTTTTAGGTGTTTGAATAAGTGAATATATTGTATACATTTACCTGAAGTTTTTTAAACTTTAGAATGCCAATTTTGCTTCTTATAGAACTTTAATGTAATATTGTTAGAGAATTCTGGTCAAGAGGTTGTTAGGCAATGTGCTGTGTACTTGTTCTAAGAAAATGGTAAAGATAAACCCTGGTTTTGTTAAAAAATACAACTTAGAAATCTCAATTCTGACTGCCCCAAATAGATTGAAATGAAGATGATACAACTAAATTTAGAGTCAAGTTTTAGTTATAATAACTTACTTAAATTTCTTCAATTATCTTTTAGGTCAAAGAACTTTTATAAGCATGAAAACTTGGCATTTTCTATTTCATGATATCAAAACCATATTATTATAATTTTTGCTGTCAGAACATGACTATGTCTATTATCTATCCATCTGTCTCCTATCACCATCTAATTTTTCATAAGTGTTATTGTTATTTCATAAGTGTAATGATAAAAGTGAGTTATTCTGGGATATGAACAATGTTGACAAGTATTTGTATGCGTTTGGATATTTAAGTAATGAGAATCTCATTCTTTAAAGGTTTGTTAAGGAATACTCATATCTGTAGGACAGTCTTTAGGGTCTATATTTGAAAAAGAAATTTGAAAAATAAACAATATCATCATTAATATGTACCGATTTTCATGTACTTTTTTCTTTTTTAGAGTTTCAGAAAATTCCCTAACATTTTATTCAGCTCAGAACTGGCAAAGATTGTCTAAAAGATACAAACTTCAACCAAGAGTGATTAAAGTAACAGCTTACAGAAATGGATCTCGAACAGTCTTTGCCAAAGTTACTGCACCAACCATCTCCTTGGTAACTAATATTCCGAGTGTTCAGAGCTGTGTTTTCTCACTCTCTTTAGAATATAGAATAATGAGGAAAATGGCATTTATTGTGTTAACTTTTTTCGAAATTTAAATCTGTAAGTTGTTGCTATATGTAAATCTCATGATGTTTCATTCCTTTCCTTTTAAGAATCAGTATAAAAATAGTGTAGTTAGCAACTACTTGATTATATAACTCATATGACATTGCTTTTATAGTGTTATTAGAAATGACACATGGTTTCAAAATTAAAATTAGAAATTCTTATTGCTGTGATTTACCTTTTATTTCCATGTTTTCAGCTGCTAAAAAATACAGTATATTAATCGATTTATTAAACTTGACCAGAGATACAATTGAGCTTCTATTTTGATCATTAGAACCTTATATCCTGTGGAAATGTTTTACTTTGCTGTAAATCACTTTGTCTTACCTCTTACTTCTTCTAGTTGCTGGAGGAGTGCACGGACAAGCTAAATCTGAATACGGCCGCAAGGCGAGTGTTCTTGGCAGATGGCAAGGAGGCCCTCAAACCTGAAGATGTACCCCAAGAAGCTGATGTTTATGTTTCAACAGGAGAGCCTTTTATAGATCCACACAGAAAAATTAAAGGTGAAAAAGGAATGAAAAAAAAACCCTATCCTCATACAAAGTACATTGCTTAAGGGACACAATTTTAAAATGATTTTCATCCTGTCTCTTTTGCATGGTTTAACAAAACTAATGTTTACGCATTTACAGCTCAGTAAGAGGATAATGTGCTTAATGAAAGAAAAATCCACTGACAGCCACGTTTATTGCCCTTCATTAGCATTGGTGCTTAATTTAATATAGATCTGAATAGACATTAGGGAGCCTGCAGGAGGTTAAATGGTGAAACTGTAATAAATTAAATCAGAGATTATTGAATTTACTGTTTAGTTTCTGTGACACTCAACAGATAAAATTCATTAGCCTTATTTTCCCAGAAAACAGTTCAAAGTTTTGAGTATAATCTATTTATTTCTACTTGTGGTTTTTTTCAGATCCATTAATATAATTAAGAAAATGTGGCCAATAATGAACTTATAATTCTTGTATAGATGTAGTTTGCCTAAGAATATTTTTCATAAGGTAAATGTTATGGCTTGATTTTAATTCCTTCATCAAAATATTACATAGATTTACATATCTACATATACATACCTATATATAATGTTTATTTTATATCTATGTCATGTTTTTTAAAGCCTATTGTTATTTGAGGATTTTCTAAAATTAAAAAAACATCTTTCTTTGGTGGAAAAGAATACATTTTAAGAGAGAAATAAAAATACCAGCATCTAAGGATAAGTACATTGTACTCAGAGTTTGCTATCAAGTGCTATATATATATGATAATTGGATTTAAATAACATAGGGATTAGAACATGGCCATAAAAATTGAGTGTGTTTAACTGCTGTAATTCTCTGTGCTTTCTAGACCTTATTAGACATAATTTTTTTCCATAACTCCTATAAAGCTGGTGCATCAAAGGCAAGTCTAGGCAATAATTGCATAAATAAAAAAAGTAATTCTGAGATTCATTACAGATGAGGTGATGAAAATTCCTCTTGTATGAAGAGTATTATATAAAATGATGCTGAAATTTCCATCTCTTTCATAATACTTTATCATAAAAAATAAGTAATATCTTGAATTCTCTAGAAAGTTCAAAATAATTTGGCCCTTGTAAAGAAACTTGTTGCTACAATGATCATTAAAAATTCCCTATATTATAGAATAGACCCATGCATGTTCAGATTTGGCTTTAAAATTAAAAGCATGTTATGTTATTTTGAATTCTTAGAAACACTTGTTATATAAAATTATGAATCTCAGTGAGAAAATACATTTCTATAACTAAAAAATTAAGATTTATATGATTGCTTTATTAAGATCTTGATTAGTTAATAAGAAATACTTATTTTATGAATAATGATATTATGGAAGATATATCTATATAATGTACATATCCATACACACATACATGTATTATTTATATTCAAGCTACAAGAAGAAAATTTCCTAGACATGTAGGCATAAAATAATAATGTCATACACTTGACTAAGTTTAGTAGGTAATTTTTAAATGTACAAACTAATTTCCTCCTACTTTTTATTTTTTCTTTTATCCGTTTTTTCAAGCCAAGTCTATAACAACAACAAAAAAACTTCTCTGCTTTGTCTGCATATCTTTGGCTGTGTTTCACTGTGACATGCACTGCTGTTCTTTTAGCACCAAAATGTTGGCACACATTCCTGAAAATTTCACACCATCTCTTGCTGGATCAGCAAGCTTAACCCACCAAAATCTGGTGTTGTGCAATGGTTTTTGACTGATAATCAATCTTTATGCTGCTCGACAGTTGTTGCTGGGACACGGAGTAGAGCAGGTGGCAGATGTGTCTGTCTTTTGAGAAAAGAAATTGTAGGTGAGCTTGGACACAGACTAGCATAACCCATGTCCATTAAAAAGACTTAGTGTAAGTATAATTGGAAAAAAGCCCCTCATCTTAGTTATGTTCTTAGATAAGTCTGAGAATTGCTATTTGTTTTGGAATGTTGTTTATATGTGCAAATATGTATGTGTACATACACACATATATTTAACTCATTGTGGATGAACTGGCCATGTGTTACCCACATAGTCACAGAATTTTTCAAATCATCTAAATCAGATTGATGCCTACCATTTTAACATACGTTTTATAGTTTTATCCATAATTTGGCAATTTGATCACAATTTTTTTTAAATTCATAACTTTGAAGATAGTTGATAAATGTAGGGTGAAGAGACATTAAAAGTTAGAAAATTGAACATGCTAAAAGCTTTTGGCAAGATTTTGTATTACTGGTATTTCTAAATGAGCATGAGTATTTTATATGCAATGAACCCAAATACGTTAGAGTCAGTACTATGTTTTTATTTTTAATTTACTGATTTTATTCATGCAACAATTTTATTAGGACTTACTATGCCTAATAGATCCAATCAGACAGACAAAGGAGGGGATTATAGCCTAGATTTTTTTACATCTCTGATTCAAATTCAGTTTATTTCAATGTAAAAAATTTAAACAATAGAAAGTTTGATTAATTATTCTGTTACTTGCCCTGGCATAGGGATAGACATCTTGTCCTTTAAACCACTTGAGTTGGGTAAACAAGTTTAAAATTATGTCAAAACTGAAAATACTATTCAACAATGTGATCAGATGGATCTACCATTGCCAAAAAATTTCATTTCTGATACAAGAAAGCCAAAGAAATCAATACATTCTTTGGCATTTATGTTTTTATACTGTGTTGGTCTCTTTATGCTTTGGAATATCAATATGCATAGTGAAGTTTTTCTAATGCTGGAAAGTAATGTTAGACTACTCACTAAGATAGAAAAAAAACTATAGAACATCTTTGATTTTTTAAAAACTATTTTACTGTTCCTTTTGAGCATCACTGTTGACAACCAGTGGCATTGCATTTAATAGAAAGCCAGAGAGCTATTCATCACATACCTCCAAACACAAAGCTTTCATTTAGAGGTCAAGCCAAGGTCAAAACTGACATGAAGCATTCCCTGTGGAAATACAATATTAGAAAAATCCTTACATTTTAAAGTTGAATGCCTAATCAGAAAGATTAATCATGGATGGGAAAATTTTTAAAAAAGCATTTTATGTAATGACTACTGATGAAAATGTCTTATTAGGCCTTATAAATTCTAGCATTAAAAGATTCTGACATTTATTAATAATTATGCTAGAATTGTGGGGATGTAGTTAATGAATTGTTTCAAAAGGCATTTGAAAAACTTTACATATTCATGGCAGTGAGGTTTAGGTTCTGTTCCCTGTTTACTAAAGCTTTTGCTTAATGATAATACAGAGAGAATTCTTGGATCAGCTCCATATGGTTTATGGGAGTTCGGTTTCTTTATAACAGCTAGGATCTATAGTCAGGGCAAACACATCCTCGTGATTACTTTAATGTCTCAAAGAACATGGAGGAGAAAACTGCTTATGTCTAATACATTATGTTCAAATTTCTAGTTTATGTAGCTCTGATTTACCTTTAAAATTACTTTCATATTGGTACTCTCTGTACATCCTGTTCCATTTGGCTACCAGAGTTTTCATTTACACTAATTCATTTTAGTCTTGAGGTTTGTTAACTAGAAGTTAAATTGAATTTTATGAATAAGATTTTACATCTTAGTGTTCTTGGTTTTGAAGATGTAGTCTCAAAAAAAAATCCATGAAGGAAGTCCTTGATACTACACCTAAGATCTAAATTTAAACCTAGATATTTCTCCTAACTCCACATGATCTACAAAATGAAATAATTTGCTGTGACAGGTTGTGATTGACAAGAATATGTGTGAGCATGTTTAAAATAGGCCATCTTTTCATGTAGAAGGAAATGTCAGTGAAATGATGGATTCTCATCATTTTAATTATTGATGATTTGGAAATATTTCAATTCCACGACACACAGGACACATTCTAAATAGCAGCATAACACTTTTTCTCATATATGCATCAATAATGAAATGTTCTGTCATATTTTATTTTTCAAAAAATGCATTAGTTTAATGAACCTGGACTCACATATTCTATTGTTTCATTGTATCTTGCGTGCGTTTGTTGATTTTTTAATGGTTGTGTTAAAAGCTTAAGTTTCAATAAATGACTCACTACTCACATTGTGCCACACCTCATATTCTGGTTGTTCTTAAGACAGATGTGATACTCCTGTGCCAGTTGCTGCTTTATCCTGCTAAAGCTAATGCTGGACTGTGGGGTGCCCACCTATAGGCAACCATGACTTAATTGAAGTAGCCTCAGGACTCAGGGTTGGCTTTCCCATTTCCTTACCATCATTTTATTTAAATAGTGTGTGTGTGTGTTAAGTGAGATTATTACTTCACTTTTCTCTCCCAATTATCTGTATGTACTCAAAAGCAGAGAAATAGCATTATAGAGAGAAAGAGAAGATTCTTGTATTTCTGTAACTAAGGGTAAAACTAAAGGCATATATTTTATGTATTTCCCAATTCCAAAAATTTTAAGCCTTTGATAAATGTGCATGTAATGATAATTACTAAAGATTTTCCCATAGCCAGAGGGAAAATGTAGAGAAGGTAGGCATATTGATGGTAACAGCTCCTTACACTGTCAAATATATAAAATCATTGAGAAACACAATTTTTTAACATACTCATTAAATGTTGAAATGTATACATACACAGATGCTGCACTTAATACATCTTTGTTGATTCCTACAAACCTGTCACTATCTTGATAACTTAAATGTCTGAATAGTTTCTGTATGATCATATACCTACCTATGCGCTTTGTGCCAATACTGGGGTTTGAACCCAGATCCTTGTTCATTAGCGCTGTTTGCTTGTTCACAGCTAGTGTTCCACCACTTGAGCCATATCGCCAGTCCTCCATTTTGCCCTTAGATATGAAGTCTCAAAGACTTTTCTACCTGGACTACCTTAGAACTATGATCCTCAGGTCCCTTTCTAAATAGAAAACAGAAAACAGAACATTATAATCTTAACTAAGATTCCAGATTAATGAGAACCCTGTTTGGTCTACTCTCTCAGAGTAGCTGTGTAGGTTCAGGAAAGCAGCAAGGACAATTTTCTTTCTTTATCACTACCAGAAAAGCAAGTCTGGGCAAGTCCCTTAATCTCTAAGTCAAGTTTCCTTATCCAAACTTGATCATAAGGCTATACACCTCCCACCATTATTTTGAGGATTAAATAAAATGATGGCTGCAAAAATCTGACATGTGATATATATATATATATATATATATAAAATTTTGTCTGCCCTTTGCTCTTTACCTATCTTCTTCTGTGTGTGTGTGTGTGTGTGTGTGTGTGTGTGTGTATTTCCTAAGCTTGTTTTCACACATTTCACACAAATTGACACATATACCTAATTTCACTACCAAAGATATTTATTAGGTCTGAGATTTTGAAATATGACCAACCAAATTAGTATCTACTGAGCAATTTTGTATACAGCATGATGAGAGGTTCAAAGTTAGAATCTTTGAGCTCTATCAAAGATATAGTTAAAACTCAAGGCCTTATATAAAAGCCCTAAATGGCCTTACTCTGCTGTATTCCAAGAGTTGTATTTTTAAAAACATTCATGACCTCAGGCTAGCCTTATCTTTCAGGCTGCCACAACTTATTTAGTGAAAGTTCATAGAAAAGTTCAAGGAAAGGATGACAACATTTTGATTGGCACAATAGATGGGATGTTTGTAATTTTAATCAAATTTAAATTGAAGACATACTTCAAATGATATGTCAGACTAGTGTTACTGAGTTAAAATCTAATGACAACCACTGTCGTTATTAGTTAAGTGTAGCCATCATGCCCATAGCAATAAATGATGACACTTAAGAACATGCAGAAACAAAGAGTGCAAGTACTTAGAGGAAAGGGAGTGACTAGAAACTCAATTGAACACAGGAATGTGACCTGGATTTAATCTATTTACCAAACACAGAAGCAATTGTGTTTGGAGAAGATGATATAATTGAATATAGCAGTATGTTTTCTTACTGTCAGGGCATTTATATTTTATAAACTCATCTTGCACTCATGCAACAATGTATTCTTCATATTTAATGTCATTATCTCTACCTACTTGACAGTCTGAACATTAATGTATTTTCAAGTTTATTATCCAACTACAAGAGAAGGAATTTTTAAAAATAAGATTTTAAATAAGCTTGTGGATTTGAAACTGCAAGTGTGCTACCATTATTCTAATTGTAGAATAAAGAATGATTCTTTTATTGGATACATGCAAAATGGAAAATAATGATGAGGGATACATCTAGAATTATCTAATTGTATGATAGGCATTGGATTTTTATAGCCAACTGAGGAAATGTACTTAGATTGAAGATAACCCTTTAATAAAGTAGCAGACTGGAATATACTCTATATTTTTCATGATTTGATTAAAAATAAGCCATGAAAATAAATAGGCCCAAATGCTAGTGACTCATTTTTGCAACCCTAGCTATTCAGGAGGCTGAGATCTGAAGACTGCATTTCAAAGCCAGCCCAGACAGAAAAGTTCATGATCTGTCAGCATTGCTATGTCCCAAGCGCTGTATCTGGTGCGTTATTAAGAAACAAATGCTTACACTGAAAATGCATGATTAACCTGTATTATTTTGCTAAATATTAAACAATCTCACTTGTTTACAATGAAACAGATAATAAAGGTACAAATTGAAAATGCAATCCATGTCCTAAAATGGTTTCAGAGCTAGTAAGAGGCAAAGTTAAGATTCAGATGCAAGAAACATAAGCTTTGGAGTCCGTGCTCTGTGCTCTGTGCTGTCTATCTAGTAAATTATTTTAGTCATCATTGATAGTATTTTATTAGACAATGTTACTGGTTGATTTAGAAGTCCTTTGTTACATAGAAATTTTTTTAAATTGCAAGTCATTTTTCAATATTTATCAATATTAGCAATATTGAGTACCTTCTAAAATCTACATATAAATGTATGTTGTGATGCTTCAATTTTTACTTTATTCTTTGGTTTTCCTAAATTCCTCTAGAGTTCTTTTCAGAAAACTTACTTGGAACTTCAGAAATAGGATCTTTTACATTTTAGTTGTGGAGTAAGGGGTCTTTAGATGTTCTTAGGTAATAGAACTATGATTATATTCAACTGGAATGCATTTTATTGTAACAAAGAAGTAGCTTTAATGCACTCAGATTTTCAGTCCTCACTGAAGCCCTAATCCATGGCTCAAGTAAACATGATATGTTTAGCCAGACAGGTACATACTTATGGTACAGTTGTGTAACTCCTTCACAAAAAGTGAAGGACAAGGTATTCAAGCTGGATAATGTTTCCCAAATGACTCCAAAATGAGAAATGACTCCCCCAATGAGCTGTGAGCCATGTACAGGTGTTTATATTAAATATATTTCAGGATCCTTCTTGGCTTTGATTTGCTAAGAATCTCTTGGTAGGTATGGCTAGTCACTGTGGCTCTCATTTGTAATCCTAGCTAGTTGGGAGGCTGTGATCAGGAGGATTGCAATTCAAAGCCAGTCTGAGCATTCATATGAGACTCCTTCTCAACCAATATCTGGGTACAGTGGTACAAGTTTGTCATCCCAGCTGTATCAGGAAGCCTCAAATACACAGACCATGGTACAGGTATGTGCCCATATAGTAAGTGAGGTCTTATATAAAAGAAACAAAATAAACAGTGCAGGGTAGACATGGGTGACTCATGTAATCCTAGAACTTAAGAGACTTAAGAATGGGAGGATCATAGTTCGGGATCATCCAAGGCAGAAAAATTAGTGAGACCCCTTCTCAACCCACAGTTTAATGCAGTAGGATATACCTGTCATACAAAAAAATACATAGGAGATTTAAGACTGGGAGAGTTATGTTGCCAAGCCAAGCTAGGCAGATTCCACAAGATTCCATCCATAGAAAGGAATCTAGACAGGGTGATATGTACCTGTGACCTTAGACATACTATAAAACCTACAGTAAGCAGGTGCACAAATGGTGGGAAGTGAGATCTGTCCTAAAAATAACCAGTGAAAAACAGGACAATAGGTTTGGCTCAGAATAATCATGCAAATCTAGCAAGTGCAAAACCCTGAATTCAAGCCCCAGAATACCACCAAAAATAAAATGATAAAATGGAAAATAAAGTAATCAAGGCAAAAATAAAAAGGGCTGTAGCACTAGAGCACTTGCCTAGCAAGCATGAGTCCTTGAGTTCAAACCCTAGTACCCCTTAAAGTAAAAACAGATACATGTGTACTCACATGTAAATTATGTAAAATCTACTTTACATAATTGATATGTTTATGAAATGTGGCATAAATTTTTTATCAAGTCATTTAAACAAATGACAAGAGGTGATATTTGGTGATCATACCATGTGTAGCATCACCTGAAATAGTAATAAGAAATATTACTTATTTCCTATTTGTTAAGGTTTTAAATGTAAATGCATAAATAGGATATGTGCTTATAAATAATAGGTAATAATTTCTAGCTGGTTTTTATTATCTGGTACCATGCTATTGGTTTTCACACATTATTGAATGAATGAGTGGATGAGTGGATGGTATAGAATCTAATTCTCTATAGGCTGAGAAAAAAGTCTCTAGGTCTTTGTGGCCTACAGCTACAAAGGAATCCCTAAAACTGGATGTTGAGAGGGATTTATGTTTGCTTAAGTGAAGGACGAGGGTAAACAGGGACAGAGTATAGTCAAGGGATAATGAACCTGATGGCTTAAGTGGAAGAGTGCTCTAAACTAGAGTAAGTTAAAACAAGGAATTTTGGATGGTATCCTATTATCTATAAATTCCTCTGTCAGAAATCAGTTTCAGGGAAAGGACTATTTTTCCTTTTCCTTTGCACAGAATCTAGCACATAAGATAGGATCAGTGTTGTTGCCTGGTAGTGAACAACTTTAAAACATAGATCTAAGATTCTATTTAGGCCATGAAAAATAGATGTCAAAAAGTCAGACATATTTGAAGAATGTGAGATGCAATAGAGGAGAATCAAATACAGTTTGGGTGCTCTTGCAGATGGGAGGAGGCTGAGAGAGAAAATAAAGTGGGCGGGTTTGTTTGGGAATGGGAAAAAAGTGATGATTTTAGAGGTACTATGAGAAACGAATAGTTGAGAATTCGATTTCCCTTTTATTCCATCTGAAGTCAGTGTCCTTAAAAGCAGAAACATATTTTTTTGTTTAAGAGACTTATCCAGGGAGTAATACTCTCAGGTGAAACATGTAGGCAGGCAAAAAAAGAAGCACAGAATAGGGGAAGAAGTATGGCCAAGCCATGTGGTCAGGTGACGTCTAGTCCCAGTGGAAGACACAACAGAGTGGCCCCTCCTTGAAGTAGAAAGACTGCCCTGAAGTCAGTCACTGGCCTTGGGCTCTCCCTGTTGTTAGAAGACGATAGGTAAAAACCTGAAGATATTTCCTGGCTAGGTTACTTTCTGCCAAGGTCAATTCTTAGGAAAAGGGTGCAGCTGTGAAATGGCAGCAGCCAAGACTCACAGCAGCTGGAGTTTGGGGGTATGCTTGCCTGCTAGAAAGGCACCTTGTCGGGGTACCAACTGTTGTTACTAAACTCTACTCTAGTCTCTTCAAATAGCATCATGCCAAGAACCTTCTAACAGCTTTCCAACACATCCCAAATAACATATAAAACCTTTACCTTGACCTACACAATCTGGCCCCTTTCTGCCTTTAGCTTTATCCACATGAACTCTCAGAACTTTTTCTTTTATAAAGATGCCAAGTTCTTTCTTAACTACAGATGTCTGGTATTTGGTTTTTATTCTGCTTGAAATACTCTCCCCCCCACAGATTATCACAGCAAACTTCTTGTGTAGGCCTTGATTTCAGATGCCTCTTCTTCAGAGAGGCCTTCCACTTTTTGTCCTTAAGAGATTGAGAGATGTTCATGGTGCTCTGTCCTCTTGATAGCTGTTACTAAGGTGCATTGGTGAATGGACAACCAATAAATATAATTGAATGAATAAGCAGTTAGAGAGACAACTGTGAAAGTAGAAAAACTGACAGAAATGAGAACTGTATGAAGTATACACCAATGTATGCAGAAAGATGTGAAATTTTGGCTGCAGACATAGTGAATTTGAGATAGTACAGAAGACATATGATAGTGGAGAGTATACTGAATTGAGTAAATATCCAAGCTTTATCACATATTACCTGCAAGTTAACTTACTACTCAGTACCTCAGTTTCTTGCCCTACAAAGGAATATAATATTACCTCTATCATGAAGTGATTGAGAGGACTGAATGAATTAATAACTACACATCACATAAGATAATGTCTGGCTAACAGGAAGCCTTGTTTTCAAATGGAACTTATGGAGCTCTGCATATGGTGGAGATATTTTCAATGCTGGCTAGGGACTAGGGTTACAAGAGTGAATCTCATAGAAAACATTTGAGGAGCTGATCTCTCAGGGTTGTGTGAGGGCTCTGAGCATACTTTCTGGAATTTGGCCTTCTTGGCTGAAGTAATCAAAGGGAAACCCTTCTATACTCAGAACTCTAAATCCAGATCTAAGACCTCTTTTCTTTGGCCTTGGTGGAAGGGGCTCCTTGTGGCTCATCTCTGATTTGACTCACTGTCTTCCATTGCTTCTCAGTGTTCACTTCACATATGTAGCCAGGTTCTCAGAGACACAGTCCAGTAGATTCTGTTTTTCTGGTTGAATTCTGACTAATGTAACAATAAGGAGCTCCAGAGCTCCTAATAAAGTGTAGGATTTTAGGAAGTAGGGGAGGAAGTTACTATTTACATCTATGTACTAAAGCCTGGTAGAAACTTTGTAGATGAGAAATCTAAGATTCAGGGATGGACACTTAATCGAATACCATTAAGAAATGGATCTGGGGCTGGGACGGTGGCTCAGTGGTAGAGCGCTTGCCTTGCATGCTCGAGGTCTTGGGTTCGATTCCTCAGCACCACATAAGAAAAAAGCTGGAAGTGGCGCTATGGCTCAAGTGGTAGAGTGCTAGCCTTGAGCTGAAGAGCTGAGGGACAGCGCCCAGGCCCAGAGTTCAGG